CACATACACAGCCCTGGCCGGTTTGGCTCAGCGGTTAGAGCGTTGGCCTGCGGTCCGGAGAGACCCGGGTTCGGTTCCCGCTAAGGGCACGTACCTTGGTTGCAGTTTGTCCCCGGCCCTGGTTGGGTTGTGTGGGTGGCAACCACTCGATGTGTCGCTTTCACGTCGATGTTTCTCTCTCTCTCTCTCTCTCCCTCTCACTCTATCTGAACAAAATATCGAAAAATGTCCTCGGGTGAGGATAAAAAAACAAAAACAAAACACATACACAAAATTTACCATCTTGTCCTGGCCAGTTTGGCTCAGTGGTTAGAGTGTTGGCCTGTGAACCAAAGGGTTGCGGGTTTGATTTTGGTCAAGGGCATGTATTTGGGTTGCAGGTTTGATCCCAGCCCTGGTCAGGGTCATGCAGGAGGCAACCAATCGACACGTCTCTCTTACATTTATGTTTCTCTCTTTCTTTCTTTCTTTCATCCCTGCCCCTCCCTACCACTCTAAAAAATCAATAGAAAAATATCCTCAGGTGATGATTAACAACAACAAAAAGTACCATCTTAACTATTTTTGTCTGCCATGACGAAGTAACCACTTGAGCTAAAGCCTACTCTTAACCATTCTTAATACAGTTCAGTAAGTCAACATTTTTGTGAAGTGTGGCAACAATTTTAGAACCTTTCCTTTTTCACCATGATTCTTAATCTGGGACCCTCAGATCTCTTCAAAGTCCAAAGATGAGCTTTGGGGAAAGGGGAGTAGTGGGTCTATAAACCCTATGATATTTTGTTTGCTAAACTGTGTGAATATGGACATGGGAGATTTCCTGAAGAGAGAATCCAAAGCTTTCATCAGATTCTCTCATCACCTGCACTTTGACACTCTCTGCTGCACAGAAACAAAATGGACAGTATATGTTAGACAAAGGCCACATCAGATGCCATCTGTGTGATCTTGAGTGAAATACTTTTTTCTGGGCCTCAGTTTTGTCATCTATAAAACTAGAGGATAGGACTAGATTAATCCAGACTATCACTAAATTATCTAAAAGCACAATCCTATTTTCTCCTAATTGATTTTAAACCATTATCCAAGGTCTAGTTCAATTCCTACCACATATAAGATATACCTAGAAGAAACTATATATAAACCTCATTTCTAAAATTTTTTATTTTTTTTATTTTTTTTTTATCCTCACCGAGGACATTTTTCCATTTTTTATTCAGACAGAGCAGGAAGGAGAGAGAGGAAGAGAGAGAGAAACATCGACATGAAAGGGACACATCGACTGGCCGCCACCCACAAGACCCAACCAGGGCCGGGGACAAACTGCAACCGAAGTATGTGCCCTTAGCGGGAACCGAACCCGGGTCTCTCTGGACCGCAGGCCGGCGCTCTAACCGCTGAGCCAAACCGGCCAGGGCTCATTTCTAAAATTTTTTAATGAAATGTATTTCCTATGCTACCATTGTATGAACGAATAACAACTCCCTCCTTCTCTTTTCTATTTATATTCTCAAGACACCTGAAATAAAGGTAACACATATCAAACCTTCGATTGTTGAACTGGAATTCCCGAGTTTATCTACTCTAATTTATAAAGTTTGTATTAACATTTACATTAAGATATCTAGACATAAACATTTGTATTTTTTAATTTTAAAAAATGTACCCCCCGTTTCAACTGTGGGTAATTGGGTAAAAGCAATATTATAAGTGCCACCCCCCTTTTTAAATAGAAGTAATTTATTAAGTATTTATTTCCCCTTAATTTTTCTTGTTAATCCTCACCAGAAGACATTTTTCCCATTGATTTTTTTAGAGAAGGGTGGAAGGGAGGGAACAAAGCAGGGGGGGGGGGGGAGAAGGGGGAGAGGGAGAAAAAGAAACATCAATGTGAGAGAGACACATGGACTGGCTGACCCCCACCCCAAACATGCCCCAACTGCATGTGCCCCAATCAGGCTATGGATTGAACCTGAAATCCAGGTACATGCCTTTGATGGAGAATCGAACCTGAGACCCTTTGGTGCCAATGTTCTAACCACTGACCCACACTGGTCAGGGCTATCCCCCTTTAATTTTTCTACTTCCCCAATTTAACAATTTTTACCTATTTATTCATTTTTACATAAAAATGACACGTTGGTGTAATTCTTACCAGGCTTTTTTTAATGTATATATTAAGATTCATGTGCACTCAAATACATATAATTATAAAAATATCATACTATATATGCTATTGCATAACCTACTTTTAATTATTTTTATTTATTTATTTTTTTATTTTTATTTTTATTTTTTTTAATCCTCACCCGAGGACATTTTTTCCATTTTTTGTTCCGATAGAGTAGGAGGGAGAGAGTGGAAGAGAGAGAAACATCGATGTGAAAGGGACACATTGAGTGGTTGCCATCCGCACGACCAACCAGGGCCAGGGACAAACTGCAATCAAGCTGAATGGGGTTGGGTGAGTTGGTAGAGTTGGTCCTTTGTTCTTCCTTTTTCTATTTGCCACCCCATCTCCTGCATAGTTATATGATCCTTCCACATGACTATATGCATACCTAAACAACAAGCCATCTCACCTGACAGGCACCCTATTTTGGAGGTGTTCAGAAGCAGAGAGGACATGTAAAATACATTTTTTAAAAACCACTTTTCCTACTTCCTTCCAAAATGCCTATACTTACAAAGTAATTCTCAAATCCCCATAAATTCCCTCTTTTCTCCCCCTATAGCTTTCTGTAGGGGGTCAGGGTGGGGTGTAGGAATCTCATTCTGTTTTAGCCCCCCCCCCCCCCATTTCCTTGGCAGCACTGTCAGACCTGGGCAACATATTGCCAGATGTAGCAGCAGTTATTTACATATGGTAGCTAAGCTAATATGTGGCTTTCTCTGGGGAGAATTGCTAACTCTTTCATGTATCTTTCTAGTCTGAACCCAGTGTTCAGAAATATAAATGTTAAATATTTGACTAGTGGCTTCTTTCTACCTTCAAAGACCCAGAAGTCAGAGATAACAAAGGCTCCCCATTATGTGGAAAAAATGGGGCCTCTAAAGACACAGAGGTGGCCTACCTACAGGGACTGAGACACCAGACAAAGCACTGATAAATCAAAACTCAAGGGTTCAGCCATTCTACATTCCCATGACATTCATGTATCACTTGCTCAAATCTGACCGCATTCTAAGACGACCATATCCACCTTAGTTTCACTGTCCTGCCATAAGGCCAAATCTGTCTCATCTAGTGAGTCACTACTGTTCCTCTCCAACTACATTTTGATTTCAGCCCACTTGTGCAGCTCATCAGGGCTGTACCATATGTTAGTACCATGTAGGCAGAATGTGACTAATTTTTTTTCTAAAACACTGTCAAGAGTTACTTCTAAAATTACTTTATAATCTTGATGTCTCTGGAGTCATTTCTATAATATATAACCTTCTGGAAATGACTTTATAATTATTTTTCTGAGTACTCAAAGGAGATTCTTTAGCATTTTCACTCCCATTTTCAGATTGAACTAAAGTGAAGAGAACAAAGTAAGTGACCCAGGTTCCACAACCAGCCAGCGAGACTTGTACTTTCTGGAGTCATGGTACTTGGGTAAAATAAGTCTGTTTGTGGAAACTCAAAATTATCCATCTGAAAAATTTTTTTAAATATGTTTTTATTGATTTCAGAGAAATGAAGGGAGAAGGAGAGACAGACAGAAACATCAGTAAGAAACATTGACTGGCCGTCTCCTGCACATCCCCCACTAAGGATGGAGCCTGCAAATGGAGCATGTGCCCAGACCACTGGGAATCAAACCAGAGACCTCCTGGTGCTTGGGATGATGCTCAACCAACTTAGCCACAACAGCTGGGCCTATCTGAATAGTTTTAAAGAGTAAAAGGACTGAATTAGTTAGGGACCACAAATGTTTTTCTAATTGGGGTGTGTGTGTGTGTGTGTGTGTGTGTGTACACACACACACATATATATATTTTGTTGTTGTTGATCCTCACCTGAGAATATTTTCCCTTTTGTGTGTGTGTATTCAGATAGAGTAGGAGGGAGAGATATAGAGAGAAACATGAATGTGATAGGGACACATCGAGTGGTGGCCACCCACACGACCCAACCGGGGCCAGGGACAAACTGCAACCGAGGTACATGCCCTTAGCGGGAACCAAACCCAGGTCTCTCCAGACCGCAGGCCAATGCTCTAACCGCTGAGCCAAACTAGCCAGGGCTCCCATTAATTTTTAGAGTAGAAGGGAGGAGGGTAGAGAGAAACATCAATGTGAGAGACACACTGACTGGTTGCCTTCTGCACGACCCTGATCAGGGCCAGGAATCTAACCTGCAACCCTTGACTGGGAATCAAACCAGTGACCTTCCAATCAGTGAGCTGTCACTCTAACCGCTAAGCCAAATCAGCCAGGGTTAATTGGTAGAGATTATAAATGGGTGAAACGGACATTGAGAGTGAGAGGAGGGAGGATTTGCAGATTCGGCTACTATCACCAATTCCTTTAAAATTAAAAAAATAATAAAAACATTTTTAAAAAGAGGGGCACCCAACCAGAGTAGCTCAATTGGTTAAGTGTCATCCAGTGTACCAAAGGTTCCCCAGTCAGGCCACCCACCTGGATTGCAGGTTTGATCCCTGGTCGGGGCACCTACAGAGGGCAATCAGTTGATGTTTCTCTCTCACAGATGTTTCTCCCCTCCACCCCCCACTTCCTCTCTATAAGCATGTCCTCATAAGAAACTTGCTTCTTCTCTGGCAATAATGATTACCAGGTTTAATAATAAAACTTATCTCAGGAAGGTTTATTAAACCTTCCATTTCAGGTCATATGTTTATGCTAGTAACTGTTTGGGAGGTAATTTGTCTGCCACTGCACTGAGACCTTTCTGATCACTAATACTATTCTTCAATGGGTAATATCCCTTACAATAAATATTTTTAAAAGATCTTAAGTATTTTATCAATACTGAAAACTGTACATACCCTTTGAATCCAGCAATTCCAGTTCTAGAAATATAGCCTTCAAATAAACTTGTATAGTCCAGCCAGTGTGGCTCAGTGGTTGAGCAAATAACTTGTATCTGATGTACACACAGTATGCAGAGGGGCATTCCTAAGAACACTATTTGTAACTGCAAAAGTTGGAAACATATATGCCATCATTTGGGTTCTGGTTAAATACAGTATAGCAACACAACAGAACACTCCACAGCTACTTAAGAGAATAGGGCAGAGTTTCAACCTCTACTAAGGATTGATCAGAAGGATATCTTTATATAATAAAAAAGAAATTACACATGGCTTGTGTATAAACGGAACATCTCTGGAAGGATAAGGAAAAACTGCTAACAAGATTGCAAATGTGGCCCTGGCCGGTTTGGCTCAGCGGTTAGAGCATCGGCCTGCGGTCCGGAGAGACCCGGGTTCGGTTCCCGCTAAGGGCATGTACCTCGGTTGCAGTTTGTCCCCGGCCCTGGTTGGCCGTGCAGGTGGCAGTCACTCGATGTGTCCCTTTCACGTCAATGTTTCTCTCTCTCTCTCTCTCCCCCTCCCATTCTATCTGTACAAAAAAAATGGAAAAATGTCCTTGGGTGAGGATTAAAAAAAAAAAAAAAAGATTGCAAATGTGAAATTCTGGCTGAATGGTTTACAAACTGATGTTACCTATTCTACAGAAATTTTATTAAAAGAAAACTTTTTTTTTTTTTTAATCCTCACCCGAGGATATTTTTCCATTTTTTGTACAGATAGAGTGGGAGGGAGAGAGAGGAACAGAGAGAGAGAGAGAGAAACATCGACGTGAAGGGACACATCGAGTGCCTGCCATCCGCACGACCAACCAGGGCCGGGGACAAACTGCAACCTAAGTACGTGCCCTTAGCGGGAACCGAACCCGGGTCTCTCTGGACTGCAGGCCGACGCTCTAACTGCTGAGCCAAACTGGCCAGGGCTAAAAGAAAACTCTTGAATCCATGAGAGACAAAGTAAATTCCCAACTCATGCTGTTCCAAAGCAAGTATTTTGTTTTGTTGTTGTCGTTTTTCCTGCTTTGTCTGAAAATTTTGTGCGGAAACAGCCATTACCCAGGTGAACCAGTAGAGTACCATAAGTGAGGTGGATAATTAATTATACTACACAGTTTGAAATGATCCCAGCAACTCAACTGATGTTTGTGCAGCTTATACTACAAACCTTAAGGCTGGCCTATTTACAAAATTTGGAGTCATTTTCAATCACTCAGCTGTAAATCTATGTGTACATTTCCTTCAGTCAACCTTTCCTGCCAGGCAGAGTGCACCATTAGCTGAATTCCAGTAAAGAAGACAAGGGAGAGGGTGAGATAATATGTCAAAATAGTTCTATAAATACAGCTTTGGCCTAATATCTCAAAAAGGAATCAAAACAGCCTCAAGCTTAAAGAGAAAAATCCTACAGTCCTGCAATATCTTATTTGAAAGCTCTAGAGAACAGAAAAGGCCAGGGATCTGGAATCTTGTTTCTCACACCATATCTTGTCTCCCTCTCCCTAATCTCAGAGGGAGGTTAAGGTCAAATTGCAGGTTATCATTCCAGGTCAGCATGTCCCCACCTCTTCCCTTATCTTACCTCCCATACTACCCAACTCATCAATATCCTTCACTGAGCTCACTCCACCTGTTAGGCAGACATACCCAATATATACAACACAAAACAGCCTTGCAACAGCACCTAGCTAGATCTAACTTCTATCATCTCCAAAACCACTGACCAAGCAGCCAAGAACCCTGCCTGAACCATCTGCCCCAACCTCACCCCAAACACATGGGCACTCAAGCAGGATGCTTCCATATGGCCCTGTCTCAGGAGGTTTATCCTGTTTTGTTGACAAGCAGGAAACTTTATTCAATCTCTTTTGTTCTTAATGTCATAATCCTACAAAACCAGAAAATACTTCTTTCTATGGAAATATTTCCTGAGATTGTTAGGTTATATGCCAGAAAATACAAAAATTACACTTTTGCTTCAGCCAATCAGAGAGTATATTTGGGCTACCCTGATTCATTCCAAAGGATGTACAATACTAGGGCAAATTCTAAATATCTCTTTAATACTATGACTTTTTAAAAAGTTACTTCAATTATCATGCTTTCACCACTCTCAAATTGTGCTCCTAAAAGTGCTTCTCCCATTTAAATACCCATTTATATGATCTCTGTCACCACCTTCAAATCACTCCTTTAAAAACTCACTGTTCCACAAAATTAAACTTGTCAATGCATTGACTTCAGTTTTACAAAAACAAGCTCTTTATCAAATGGGAGTTCTATAATCAAAAACACAAGTAGAGCCCTGGCCAGTTTGGCTCAGCGGTTAGAGCGTCAGCCTGCGGTCTGGAGAGACCCGGGTTCGGTTCCCGCTAAGGGCACGTACTTCGGTTGCAGTTTGTCCCCGGCCCTGGTTGGTCGTGCGGGTGGCAGCCACTCGATGTGTCCCTTCACGTCGATGTTTCTCGCTCTCTCTCCCTTCCTCTCTCTCCCTCCCACTCTATCTGTACAAAAAATGGAAAAATGTCCTCGGTTGAGGAAAAAAAACACACAAAAAAACAAAACACAAGTAGAGAACAACCACTATAAACCAGGAACTAGGAAGTACAAAAAAAGGCCCAATCCCCGTCCTTAATGACTTTATATGTCTTGTTCAGAAGACATAACTTACACCACAGACAAAAAACATAGGATAGCATATATCCAAGAGAAACCATATATGGCAAGGGACAATCTGCCATCAATTTGAGAGAGAGACTAAAACATCCCAGGAGACCTGATTCTTTTATTTCCCTGTCTAAATCAAACTTTTGTGTTTCTCAATTACATTGTCTAAGATAGGATATAATTTTTGCTCTCCAATAAAATTACTCAGCCTAGCACAATTCTCCCATCATCACTTCTTTTGAACAGACCTCTCTGTTATCCTGTTATATTCACACAGATCATGGTTAGTGGATTAGGCAAAACTTGCCAGTGCTCCTTTCCCATGCTCACTCTATGAGGGCATCTCCTGAGGATGTGTACTGCAGGAGAGTTGAGGAAGCTAAAATTCTGCTGTCAATATTTTCAGTACATAGTCTGGCACCAGCAAAGACAAATTAGTAATTTTCCACAGACTTGTCTTGCAGCTCTTTATCATCAATAAATGAATTCGTTGACAATGACCTGTAAAATCAAAGTCACACAGATATTTTCATAAGAAACTTCTAAAACGAAACTGGGTTAGACTGATTCAATAATCCCTAATAATATTCCAAATGTGTTAATAAGGTTAATAAATATTTACTGTCAGCCTACAATATGCCCTACACTCAGACTCTAGTCACACCAACACTTTCTAATCCGCTTTGCTGCTTACTAGCCAGGTAACTTTCGGTAAATTGTTTAACTTCTTTATACCTGTTTCCTCATCTGGAAAATGTTTACAGTGACAGTATCTACCTTTCAAGGTGTTTGTTAGAATTAAAAGATTTACGTACATAACGCATTTAGAACAGTGGTTGGCACATGAAAATGTTCAATAAATGTTTTCTATCATTATTATTCCAGGTTCTAAGGTTGGTGCCTATAGTGAAGCAGGATGAGTCCCCAAAAGCTTTATTATTATTTTTTTTATCCTCACCCGAGGACACTTTTCCATTTTTTGTTCAGATAGAGTAGGAGGGAGGGAGAGAGAGAGAAACATCGATGGAAAGGGATACACCGAGTAGTTGCCACCCACATGACCCAACAAGGGCTGGGGACAAACTGTAACCGAGGTATGTACCCTTAGCAGGAACCAAACCCGGGTCTCTCTGGACCGCAGGCCGATGCTCTAACTGCTAAGCCAAATCGGCCAGGGCAAAGCTTTATTCTTTGACAAGACAATTAATAAAATGAGGCCAGGGAAATTATAAATTTCTTTAAAAGATCAAGAATAAAAGGCTCTTGGGTTCAAATCTACTTATTGGCGACATGGCTAAACATACCAAGGTTGGGAACCGTCGATAAATACAGAACCTGTTATGGTGCTTCCCTCAGGAAAATGGTGAAGAAAATTGAAACTGGCCATCATGCCAAGTACACTTGCTCTTTCTGTGGCAAAACCAAGATGAAGAGACAGACTGTGGGGATCTGGCACTGAGGTTCCTGCAAGAATACTACAGTTGCTGGTGGTACCTAGACCTACAATACCACTTCTGCTGTCAAGAGTAAAGTCTGTCATCAGAAAACTGAAGGAATTGAAAGATCAGCAGAAGCTCCACAGTTTGAAACATTGCTAGTCTATAATAAATGGGTTAATTTATATAACAACAACAGAAAGAATAAAAGGAAAGGTAGATTAGAGATGTGCTAGCCACAGTGTCTTTTACTAAGATTAAGCTATAATATCAAAGAGCTGTTACTGAGTTTAATCTCCAATGACATCCCTTACAAAGATTATAATAGTGATTCAGAAAACATTAGTAGGATTGTAAAATGAGATGGGTACTAAAAGTTGCCAAGAAGGGGAAGATGAAGCCTATTTAATGCCACACTCAACAGAGAGTCATTAAGTACACAGGACCCAAGAGAGACTCAGCACCAGGTCCTAGGCCCTAAACAAACATACAACCAAAGCCAACAATGGACAAGTGGCAAAACAAATTTTCTAAGTGATTCAGAGTCAGAATAGATCAGCAAACAGCACAGAACTCTGCAACCATACCACACAGCTACAGGAAGAAACTGCCTAAGTGAACATGTTTCTCTAGCATTTAAAATTCTTTTCTCTCCTCATCGGCCACAATTACAAATATGTGCAGAGAACCGTCTCATCTCTACTTAGCTGACAAATTCTATTCCCAAATCTGCATGCTTATGACTCATGGGGGGGATGGGGGAAGGGAGTCAAGTATAAAGCAAACTGGAATTTAGACAATTGACCAAGAGTGAGGAATTCATTTCTAATCAGAATATCTCATAACAAATCAAGAAAGAATCCTTTAAAAATACAGTAACGAACCCAATGCTGTTTGGAAATAGCCTAAAATTTGTCTACATGTCACGACACCTACTATTCCTTAAATAGACATGACACCAAAACACATTGCAAGCCCTCTGGTAAGGCCAAACTTTACAAAGCA